ATCCAATAAGCTCAGAAGATTCTGATAAATGGAAGATATCAAAATTCTAATTATACATATCTGTATTTAAAGGTGTATTTATTTGAGCTGAAATACTTTTGAATTTTTCACCTTTTTGCCTTTGTTTGGATTCTTTTCTGTTTTTTAACAAGTGAAAAAAAACCTACCAAGCTATTTCTATTTATGATTTTTCAAAATGTGGTATTGTAAAATCTAGTACAAAATATAATTTTATCATGTTAAAGAGGAGCGTCAAGCCAAGCATGGTGGCTCATGACCGCGATCCCAGCACTCAAGAGATGAGGCAGGGGGATCATAAAGATTTCCAGGCCAGCCTGGGCTATGGAGTGAGACACAATCTCAAAAAAATGAAATGAAATAAATTAGAAGTAATCCTTCAAAAGCTTCTTTCCATGAGCCAAGTGTATGAAAGTTCAGTTACAGAATTTCAAAAATATTGTATGCAACATGAGTTCTTGTTGTTTAATTTCAAGCTCATTCTTTGTTTTGGTAAGGATAAATTCCAATGTCTTCTTGTTTATAATATATTTTCTATAACTGCAGCCTGTAGACATCAAAAATCTGCTTCTGAATGCACTGTGATGCCATTCCACAGGCCTCTTCACAAACAGGCCCACAGCCGGTAGGGAATGTAGGGAATCTGCATTCTAAATCCTAATTAGGGAGCAGCAACAAAGAAGGTCTTGATTGCCATGCATAAGATAATTTGATAGTTTAACAGCAAATTCATCTTCAAATATTGCACATCTCATGTGTGCTATTTTTATGTATAGAAAAGTATGCACACATTTTGACCAGTTTTAATGGGAATAAAATACCAGCTTCATTATCTGCATAACACAATTTCTTTACTATAGATTTTATTTTGGTTAAAAACATTGTTTATTTGTGATTCTTTGCTTTACCTATGTGTATTCATATTGTCACTTGCATTCACAATGTAATATTTTGAAGATCTATTTTATTTTCAATTGTGTGTGTGTGTGTGTGTGTGTGTGTGTGTGTGTGTGTGTGTGTGTGTGTGTGTGTGTGTGCATGTAAGTGTAGGTGCCCACAGAGGCCTGAAGAGTGTGTTGAGATCCCTGAAGTTAGAGTTACCAGTGGTTGTGAGCCACTGAATATGAGCGAAACGTAATTCATCTGCAGAAATGTACTCTTAACTGCTAATCATCCCTTTACCCCCTACAATATTGAATTTTTAAGTCTTGGTTACAGTAACACAATAAGATCAGACAATAAATTTCTTAATAATAAATTTCCCCAAATATTTTCTGGTTTTGTAATTTTGATTTAAAAATATAACTGTTATTAGAATGAACTGGCATTCCATATTCACTTTATCTATTGACAGACACATCCATCATTTAACTGCAAAACCTTTATTAATGGTGTCGCCTCACCAGTAGCCATTGCTTTTATATGTTTTATAGGTTCAAAGAACCTTGGGTGTAAGGTTGAGGGAAATTAATGGAGAGCAACTGTTATCTCTTGTGAACAATAGCATGTGAACCATCTTGCTATTTGGAGTGGTTCATAAACACACTTTAAGTAGCTATGTGTGTCCAATCACCTGCCTCGAGCAATCTTTTTAAAACAGTGACTCATGTTTTCTGATGTGAATGTTGCTGCTTCTTCAGCAGATTTCTGTCTCCTGGTTGGTTTGTGGTCAGTGATGGCAATGTTGAGGTCCCTATGGTATATGGGGTAAGTATTCTGATTTTCATATGTTCATTCTCAAGTTTCTTGAGAAGCAGAAAAATCAGTATTTACATTATGTGAATACATTAAGCCTTTATGTCTGAAGGGTTTATTGCAAAACTACAATAAGCATAACCAAATAATAACAAGAGTGGTGGATATACAGCATACAACAAGTGACCTGACTGCTGGTGCAGGAACAGGCAGACACTCCTAAGTAAAGCTGCCAGCCTCTATTGCCCATACACATTTCATTCACATCTACTCTGTAAATCCCTGCATGTCCCACCAACTCCACTGATTGGCATCCTGATGGCTTCATGCTTCTCATAGGCCATAGTGTATGCCACTCAGCATAGGCCATAGCACAACTAGCTGCTGTACCCAGTGATGATGGAGGGCCACCAGAACAATGAGGGGCCATTTCTAGCTACTCGGGTCCATGTGTCCTCACTGTATCTGCCAGTGCCCTGCATGTGGCACTCCAAAGTGCTAGGAAAGGAAATAGGCTGCACTTCAGTTTACTGTGCTACACTACTCAACTCAGTCAAGGGCCAGGCCTCTCACAACTCACTATGAAAGAGATGGCATTAGAGGTTCAACTACCTGGATTTCAAATTTGTTTTCAGTATCATCTGTCCTTATTCTGACCTTCAGATGTATTCCCTACTCTTCCTCTACATGATCCTTCACACCAGCTTAATCACTTACCATTTTCTAAATGTGTTTACTACGTTCTATTAATGCTAAATAGAAAGAAAGTTCCAAAGAACATCTTTGCCCAACCTGGACCATACTTATCAAAAATATTATGAATGACTTTAAACCAACACAGTATCTCGTAGTCTTTCCTTGACCCCTATCCAAAATGTTCTCATTAAGGTTTTTGGCAGCATAAAAACACTCTGATGGCAATCAAACACACACCTTCACTTCAAGCAGAGATCTTACTGCGAGCTTAGGAGGGCCAGAGATGATCTTCTCCACTTCACTCTGCCCAACAGTGCCACACGGCATCTTCCTCTGCAGGCATGCTGCTACTCACAACTGTTCATAGGACGAACTGATCAATGGCTAGCGACCCCTACTAAAGTGAAAAACGTGTACAGCCTTATGAAGAAAAAAAACATTATCTCAGTTTATTGGGGATGTTGAACCACAGGGAAAGATAGAATTTAAACCTGACTGAATCCTTTCATAATCCTTTCATAAGATCAGTCTGTTGGCTAAATTTTGGACCTGCATAGATACTAAATAAGAACCATTTTGTTCCTTTCTATAAGTCTAACGTCCACTAAAAAAGAAGACTCAATAAAGATAGAATGTGTGTGTGTGTGTATGTGTGTGTGTGTGTGTGTGTGTCTGTGTCTGTGTCTGTGTCTATGTCTGTGTGTGCATACACATTTGCCTCAAAGAGATGTTCCACAAAGATTAATAGCAATGGTCACTCATAGGAGAGACAGTGGGTTTGGAGGAGTATATAAACAATCCTTCATCCTTACTCTATAGATCCTCGATTGTTCTATTTTTATAACTACTATTATAAATTACAAAATGATCATTTTAAAAAAGAATTCTTAAGCTACACAGCACTGTGTATTGATACATAAACCTCCTTCAAGGAGTTATTGCAATGCTCAAGACATGAAGAGAATAGAATTTAGGCTGAATATTTTTCATGTGATATTCTCTGCAGTCATTTTTAAAAACCTTGTCAGAGTAAAAACTATATATGTGTATATACATATGTATGTATGTATATATACATATACATACACACACATACACATACATATACATACACACACACATATATACATACACACACACACACACACACATACACACACACACACACACACGCACACACACACACACACACACACACACACACACACACACACACACACACACACTCACGCACACACACACACACACAAGGGAGCATGTGAAGGGGCCAGACCTGTAGATCCAAAGGTCCAGGATCTCCATGACACAAAGCAACAATAGTGTCTTAGTTAGGGTTTCTATTGCTGTGACAAAACCCCATGACCAATGAGTAAGTTGGGGAGGAAAGGATTTATTAGGCTTACACTTTAGCATTACTGTTCATCACTGAAGGAAGTCAGGACAGAAACTCAAAACATGGCAGGATTCTGGAGGCTGGAGTTGATGCAGAGGCCATAGAGGGGAGTTGCTTACTGGCTTGCTTCCCCTGGCTTGCTCAGCCGACCTTCTTACAAAACCCAGAACCAGCAGAACAGGGATGGCACCACCCACCATGGGCTGGGCCCTCCCCTTTTGATCACTAATTGAGAAAACGCCTTACTGGGTCTCAAGGAGGCATTTCCTCAGCTGAGGCTCCTTCCTCTCCTATGACTCTAACTTGTGTCAAGGTGACACACAAAACCACCCAGTACAAATAAGATATCCAAGGGCAGTCCCATTGAGGGCCCATTATCCATAGGGTAGCAGAAGCTAGAGGCCTTGAACCAGACCAATGACTCTTTGCAATGAACACTTACAAGTAAAGATGTGTGGACTAAATGGTGTTCTGTGTGGCTCATTGGGCCACACTGCAGCTACCATACCAAGATTTATTTATTTATTTATTTTTGCTTGTTTGAGTTTTTGGTTTCACTTTTAAATTTTGTTTTGGGGGGTGAGGTTGCAAGGGCAGAAGGCAGATGTGAGGGTCCAGGAAGGTGAGTTGCATAGGGATACATGATGTGAAATCCACGAAGAATCAATAAAAACATTAAAAATAAAATAAAAAATGAGAGAAAAATTTAAAACAGGAGTAAAGTGGAAAACATATTGAAAATATAGATGTTGTCTAAGTTCTTTGAAGACCATATACTTCTCACGTAAAATATTTACAATTTAAAAATCAGTAAATTCATAGATTTATGATAAAAAAAATCCATTGTGATTGAAATCAGGATAGCTATTAAAATGTTTAATTATTTAAGGACCAAGGAAGTACTAGCCATAAAACAAAATGAAAGCCCATCTGGAAAGCAGAGAGACTGAAAGAGTGAAAATTAAAAAGCGAATTCTGTCTGTGCTCAGTGCTACTGAGGGACCCCAGCCAATGGCTATAAACCCATTGGGAGATAAATGTAAAGTTTGTGTAATTACCATGAACCCGAAGGCAGACTCAGTATTTATGTATCACCTGGGAAGCTTTGTAAGTCAGGCACATAAAACCAAAGTACCAGGGGGTTATTAAAATACTATTTCCTGCTGTATTGCAGAACCCAGGAAGAGAACAAACATACCGATTACTTGCATGGCCGGTTCCACGTCTGTTGTGGCCTCTTCCAACATGGACAGTAGCTTGGCTGATATCTGGTGCACAGATTCGATGTTGCTAAACAAGCCCTCCACGTCCAGCCTGTCAACCTGAAGAAGCAGAAGCTCTGAGCACCAGTGGATAGGAAGAGAACTATTGTGTGCACCATACTTCCTCCTGCTAAACAGCAAGGATTTTAACTGCCAGCCCATGCCGCTACCCTCACCCTGCTTTGTGAACATGCTCATTCAGGACTTCTAAATGTAAATGTATAGATTTTCATCAAGGAAATTAAGATGATGTATTATACCTCTGTCTTAAACACCACCAACAAAAAACGTTTGATTTGTGCCGGGCGGTGGTGGCGCACGCCTTTAATCCCAGCACTCGGGAGGCAGAGGCAGGCGGATCTCTGTGAGTTCGAGGCCAGGCTGGTCTCCAAAGCGAGTTCCAGGAAAGGCGCAAAGCTACACAGAGAAACCCTGTCTCGAAAAACCAAAAAAAAAAAACAAAAAACAAAAAACAAAAAACAAAAAAAAAAAAAAAAACAAAAAAAAACGTTTGATTTGAGTGTGTAGCAGAATTTCTTAATAGAAACCAGATTGGGAAGGTTTAGACCTAATGGTATTTTTATAACTGCCCTTTATGCAGGTATGTACCACTGAACTTAGAATATTTTACTGTCGGGCTGGAGAGATGGCTCAGTGGTTAAGAGCACTTGCTGCTCTTCTGGAAGACCCGAGTTCAAATCCAAGCACCCACATCAGACTGCCCATAACTTCCTGTAACTCCAGCTCCTAGATCTGATACCTTCTTTTGGCCTTTGTGGGTACCTGAATACATATGTCATAACACACAGAAACACAAAATATTAAAAATAGAGTATTTTACTGCTCTCACAGAAACACGACCTTATCTTTTTCAAATAACTATTTTTAAAGCTATTTTAAACCACAGATGTTCTAGAAGAGATGGCAAATAAATGTGCTGGGCTACTTCTTGCTCCTTTCCTTTGAAATAAATATACTAATTAAGGATTGCCATGTGTTATAATTTCAGGATGAGTCTCAAAAATCACTGTGATCATTCTTATACTCTATGCTTATCATAAAATCTTATTTATTCATCTTTCATCAGCTATTTCCTAGGTGCCTTCTGTGTCCTAGGAAATGCAAGAGAAGAGAGATCTTATCTTAGGGAGTGACTAGTAGAGAGAGGGACAGCTGATTGAATTCAATAATCTGAGTGTGGTGAGAAATGCAGTGACTTGGTCTTGATTTTTAAAAGTATTTCTTCTTTCATAGTTAAATTATGTTTATTCAGGGTCCAACTACATTGGTGTAGAATCATCTGAGGTTAGTATACAACAAAGAACAGGAACTGGTTCCATTTGTCCATAATTTATTACGCTTGAGGTTGTGGATAGCCAGGTGATTAGTAAGCTTGGCACGGAGGAGCTTCAAAGGTAATGAGCAGAACTGTTGAGAAAGGTCATCAAAATCAGAAGAGAGAGACATACAAGTCCAGTGGAGGAAAGAGGGCCAATAAGTTAAGGGAGGTTAGTAACAGTGGGCATAAGCAAGAGATAGACCTGGGAGCCAGGTGTTGGCTCAGTGGGTAAAGCACAGTAAAGTGCTTGCTGTGTGAGCAAGACGACGTGTCTGGATCCTTGGCATCTTCTTAAATAGCAAGATGTGGTAATGTATGCTTGTAATTTCAGCACGAGCCTGGCAAAGACAGGAGAATCCCTGTGGCTCACTGGCCAGCCAGTGTAGCCTGATAGGACCCAGGAGCTCCAGATTGCACTATAGCAGTGTTCTCAGCCTTCCTAATGCTTCGACCCTTTAATACAGTTCCTCATGTTGTGGTGTGACCACCAACCACAAAATTATTTTTGCTGCTACTTCATAATGCAATGTTGCTATTGTAATGTAAACATCTGTGTTCCCTGATGGTCTTAGGTGACTCCTGTGAAAGGGTCGTTCGAACTCCCCAAACGGGTTGTGACTCAGATGCTGAAAACAGCTGTTGTTTGAGTTTGTCTAAAACAAGGTGGGGGGCAGTGAAGAACTATCAAGGAAGAGATGCTCACCTCCCTCCTTTCACTCTGGCTTCCATTCACACAAGTGTAGGTGAGTGTACCTGCACACATATGCATAACACACACATACACACACACACACACACACACACACACACACACACACACACACACACATACACACACACACACATACACAGAAGACTGGGGAGGTACAGGGAGGGAGGAGAAGGAGGGAGGGAGGGAAAGAGGGGGAGAGAGAGAAAACAAGAGACAGAGACAAGAGAGGATGATGTGGTTCTTCCAATGAAGGCTAAAGATTTTGTCATCGAAGTCTATTAGAGCAGGGGGGAAGAAAACACTGTGTTGGTCTTCTTAATGCTGTTCCTTTTAGAGACCAGTCAGTGTGTTCTTCATATTGTACATGCGTGCTATTTTGGCAAGCACATTCTGTCTCCAAAGTTGAAAGAATGATTTCACAGTGAACCTTTGTCAAACATTATTACTGTGTCCATTATTTCTTATGCTACACAGCTATACTCCATACATTTCTTTCACTCATCCCTGAGAAATTCCTTGTTATCAGGTCATCAACACTGTCCTCAAGATAACTCCCAAATTCACTTGTTAGCAAATCCATACAATTGCCTATTTCAATCTAAAATTAGACAGCCTTTTTCCAACTACTTTTTTTGTTGTTGTTTTGTTCTTAGGCAGGGTTTTTCTATACATGGCCCTGGATATCCTGGAATTCGCTATGTTGTCCAGAACTCACAGAGATCCACCTGGTTCTTCCTCCTGAGTGCTGGGATTAAAGGCATGCACCAGCATGCCCAGCTTTTCCAACTACTTTTATGTATTCTGAGTTTATTAGGACTGAGTGTGTAGGTCAGGTGTAAAGTGCTTACATAGTGAGCGTGAAGTCCTAAATTTGGGTCTAGCTCTGAAATATATTGCTGAAGTAAATTATCTGCATCTCCACATTAATTACTACATTGCAATTGCAATCAATACTGGCTTTTAGGGTCTTTAATCCAGGGTCTTCAAGAATATACCTTCACCAAGTATTCACTTAGGAGGAAAGGATACATGTGGCTCTTTTGCACAGAATGTAGGAATGTTTGGGGCTTCTGTTTTCTATATTATGAAGCATATTTAATATTATACAAAATGCTTAGAAACATGTGACAGCTATTAGCTTATGTTAGTTAACATGCATGAAGTTATCATTTAATAATTTATTATCAACTGGTCAGAACCATACGGACCTATTACACTATTTGATTACTATGTCAGGTAGAAATAAAATGTGACTTCTTTTAAATGTACTGGTTGTGATTTCTTTGACATATACCCTGAGAGGTGTGACACTTTAATTTCCTCATCACCTGCTTTATAAGATAGTGAGTAGATGTACTTCATACAGTGTGCCCATGTTATTTTATTGTGCTGTGCAATCTTGAGTTTATCGGTTTGAAGTGCTGTTAACTTTTTTTCTTTCATATGCCTCTCCATCTTCTCTGTCAAGTATGAGCCATCTTGAAGTGAGGTTATACATGGAGGTTAAGACAGATCCAACACCGTGACCTTGCAGTCCTACACCCTCATAAAGATCAGCAAACGCCACTCACAGTTAGTCATCATCCCCAAACTTCCTCAGTTTCTGCTGACTTTTCACCAAGTTTTCACTTCTACCTTCTATTTGCCAAGGTCACTATCCTGTATATCTAATTTAGATTACAAATCCATTTAGCAAGAATCTAATACTACATTCTATCTATAATCTTAGCTCAGTGCAACAAATTCTGAACAACAGAAACTTAGTTTTTTAATTCCATTTCTTCCTGAAGGACAGAAAGGATTAAAACATCAATTGGCCTGGTTTCAATCCTATCACCACGGGCCCTTGGGGATTCTGTGAATCATGAAACGAATTCACATCCAGGCACGGCTGTGCCAAGGAACAAACAAACATCTGGTCCAAATCGGCTTTTAAAAGTGATAGATGGTTTTATGATTACTGTTATAAATTCATGGAAACATCCACATATATTTATTAATTGTTTGCTCAAAACGGGCAAAGTTCTTAAAGCTTAAAATCAAATTCTACTTTAAATGAATTAAAATTTACTTTTGAAAAAAGTTTGAGAAAGCACTATTCTAAGACAAATCAACAATAGTTGTTCAGATCTATGAAACATAGACATTAAAGCTCACTGTTTATCTAACAATTTAATGTGTTGTTTTGCAGAAGTGTTCATCATGGGATATACTTCAAACAGAAAGTTCCCATCACATTCAAACCATTACAAGGATTTAAAACCAGATAGTATGATAACTCCACTTGCTCTTTTTTGTTCAAGGGTACTTCAGCTACCTATTGTATTTTATAGTTTCATAAAAGTTTTAGCATTGTTTTTTCTATTTCTGAGAAAATATCTTTGGAGTTTTGATAAATATTGCTTTGTATTGTATGGGCAGTTTGAGGATAGTATTTTTTTTGGTTCAGGAATACTTGCTGTCTTTCCATTTATCCATGCCATCTTCAAATTCTTACTAATATTTTAGAGTTTTCAGTAATTTTTTAAAATATGCTATAATGCCGGGTGGTGGTGGTACATGCCTTTAATCCCAGCACCAGGGAAGCAGAGGCAGACAGATTTCTGTGAGTTCAAGGCCAGCCTGGAGTACAAATTGTGAGTTCCAGGACAGGCTCTAAAGCTACACAGAGAAACCCTGTCTCAAAAAACGAAATAAAACAAAATATGCTGTAACATTTTAGTAAACAAACCAGTATAGTACCAACAGAAATATACACACTTATCCCATTAAGCAAAATAGGAAGCCCAGAAGCAGACCTACACATTTATGGTCAATTGATTTCAGCAAACAATGAAGAAAGGACAATTTCCTCATTAATGTGCTAAGAAAACTGACCAATCACTGCAAAAATCAATTCAAAATAGACTAAAGGCTCAAACGTAAAACCACCATAGTCAAAATGGACAAAAGAAAATACTAATATCCAGAAAGTATTTGTCAAAATGCTCAATATAAATCATTACAAAA